AAGAAAGAAAGAAAGAAAGAAAGAAAGAAAGAAAGAAAGAAAGAAAGAAAGAAAGAAAGAAAGAAAGAAGGAAAGAAGGGAGGAGGAAGGAAAGATGGAAGGAAGGGATGGAAGGAGGAGGGAAGGAGGAACGAAGGAAGAAAGGGAGGGAGGAAGGAAGAGAGGAAGGAAGGAAGGAAGATCATAAGTTCCAGCCACAGTATGAATGCTTTGGCCTGCAGTATCCTCAGGCTCCCCCAACGCAACTTAAATACGACAAAAAGACTACTTGTGAAGGAGCCACTAATAAGGTTTGCCACTTGTGGACAGTAATAAAAATAATGATTATCATGATGTACCATCAAGTCAGTTCTGACTTATGGTAACCCTTTTCCAGAGATCTGCAGGCAGAGAATACTCAGAAGTGGTTTTACCGTTCTGTTCTTCTGGGGGCTCCCTGGGACTACTGTGCCGCTTGCCCAAGGCTACCCAGGCTGGCTCTTGTCCCAGGAGACATTGGGGGGGGGGATCAAACTCCCAACCTCTGATTCCACAGCCAGAGACCTAAACCCCAGAGTGATCCATCCAGACAATATCCTTTCTAATTCCATGTCTTTAAAAAAAAAACACTTTAATGAAACAATAAAGGATAATATAATAAAGTGAAAACACAAAAGCTATAGCACAAAAACACAACTTGTTTGTGTTTTTGTGCTGCAGCGCTCAGAATTCATCAGGAGGCACGGCGCTATAGTCCAAAAACACAAATGTGAAAACGTCCAGTAGTGAGTCCATTTCTTCCACCCCTTTAGCATTAACAACAACAAATTAATTCCCCACTTCTAACTGCCAGTTATAATGACTAATTGTTCAAAATCTTGGCGATCAAAGCTCTGCCTTAGAGGAAAGATATCCTGTCTTCAACCTAGGTAGGTCTTTATAGATCAAACCTAATATTTTGGACAGGTTTGGAAATAAACTGGGAGGCCAGTGTTTTTTATTATTTATTTATATGTGTATTTATTTTTTTTCCATTTCCATTTCTGATTCTTTTCCTGTGAGCTCAAGGCAATGTACGGCCCACTTTGTCCCCGCCATCATGACAACAACCCTGTGAGGTAGGCCAGACTAGCACTCTGTGTAACTTGGCCCATGTTGTTGTTGCCCAACATATCTAGGGCATTATCTGCTGGATAGCTCAGTGATTCAGGCATCAGGCTGGGAAGCCAGAGGTTTGGAGTTCGATTCCCCCTTTCAGCCTCCTTAATAAGGGCTGGACTCGATGATCTTCTAGGGTCCCGTCCAGTTGTGCAGTTCTAAGCTGATGGAAGGTCACCCAGTTAGTATGCGAACTGCGGATATTCCCACTCCTTGCCTAGGGCTGTGTCCCCCATGCCACGCAGGTTTCTGATTTAAGACTCATGATGTCTGGATCTTATGGTGTCCACCAGGGAATGGTATAGGATTCGGGCGATGCCAGCGTTGGATGGCTTTGATTGGGAAAGGATGGATTGGATCTTTGAGGATTTTTTTTAATGCAATTGTGCGAAATGGCAAGCGAGAGTATCTGCCACTAGCATTCTTGCTTATGATTTCATTAGGACCGAGTTTTCTGTTTTTCAGGGGGGGAAAAGAGGTCAGTGGGTTTGGGTTAACTAATTAATGCTCATTAAGTGCTTTGAAGCTTCTTAAGGCTGTGGTCTGGGTTTTAAGGACACAGGCACCTGTGATGAAGTGTGAAGATTCGGTCTGGCTCCGAGAACTCCGTTTCCTTTCTAGCAGATGCTGCACAGTTATGTTCCTCTGTGTCCTGATGTAATAAGGCTTATTTTCTCTATTATTCATTTGTAACTACCTTTCTTTTTAATGACGGTGCCTTCTACTGAGGATCTGTGAAAGGCATTTCTGAGAGGTGGATGCCTGCAAAGCAGAAATGGGCCAGGTGGAAGGGTCTGGTGTCCCATTTCTTGTCCCCGGGACCTATTTGGGACCCCCCTGGTTCCCTACCCTCTTTAGCAAAAAAGACAGAAAATTAAACCCTAAGCGACCAGATGTCCACTTCTGATTTTATGTATATATATAAAAAATGGTGTGTGTGTATGTGTTCCTTTTAAAAGGAAACCTTCTCCTCTGTTTAGAAAGAAGGAAAATCGCCAGCTCTGAAGGCTTCCAGAGGTGGCCGTTGTCTTTTTAGTGGGGCAAAATTTTCAGGGTCAAAGGAGGCTCGGACTGCCAAAAATGGCCTGGGTGGTGGTGTCCGTGTGTCTCATAGGCATTGCCACTTCCATTGATACAACAGAAAGATGTCTGAAAGAATAATTCCAGCCCACTCCGTTGAAAACTGAATTTGGAAAGGAAACAAGCTGGTGCATTCTGTGATGTCACAATGGGTTCTTGTGATAGACCTTCAACAGAGATCAAGTTCAACTTTCCCAAAACTTTTGACCTACACCAGCTTCAATTCCTGCATATACTGAGTCAGAATAGCACATAGTAGGTTTTTTTAAAAAATTATCCTTTCAGAATGGCAGCTTTTCGACATTCTTGGGAGATGAAAGAGAAACGCAAAAGCATGATCTTGAAGAGCATCTTCCCCCCCCTGAGACGCCCAAGCTGATTCTCAAAATGGTGAAAGGGACGGGAAAAACACGTCAAGAGATTTGCTGGATAGCCCTCCCCTCCCAGTTAGGCGAGGGAAGCGCAGGAACAGCTGCGGGGAGACCGATGACACCCTTGTGCGGGTTCTGAAAAGGGACAGGCTGTGCGTCGCGCTGAGGAAAAGGGACAACTGCCCACCGGTTTTGGGTTATGTTTTGTGAGCTATTTATGGGTCTGAAAACATCCCAGCAAGATGACCGCTGCCCCAGTTCTGTGTGCACCAGAGCTGCAAAGATTTCAGTAGGGCCCCCCCCCTCGCCTCCCCCCTGCTTCCTTTTTTCTCTAGCAGGAGTAGTGAGCGGGCATCCCCATTTTGGGTGACTTAAGGGCACGGCTGCTGGCTGGCTGCCCGCTTCCTCCCAAGCCTGCAAGAAATGAGGAGTCTTCAAGATGAAAACAGCCTACTCTTGATCTGGGGCCGCTTGAGGTTGGAGGGGGAGACCGATGACACCCTTGTGCGGGTTCTGAAAAGGGACAGGCTGTGCGTCGCGCTGAGGAAAAGGGACAACTGCCCACCGGTTTTGGGTTATGTTTTGTGAGCTATTTATGGGTCTGAAAACATCCCAGCAAGATGACCGCTGCCCCAGTTCTGTGTGCACCAGAGCTGCAAAGATTTCAGCAGGGCCCCCCCTTCGCCTTCCCCCTGCTTCCTTTTTGCTCTAGCAGGAGTAGTGAGCGGGCGTCCCCGTTTTGGGTGACTTAAGGGCATGGCTGCTGGCTGGCTGCCCGGTTCCTCCCAAGCCTGCAAGAAACAAGGAGTCTTCAAGATGAAAACAGCCCGCTCTTGATCTGGGGCCGCTTGAGGTTGGAGAACGCAAAGTCTGCAGGGTGTGTGTGTGTGTGTAGGGTTGTTAAATGCTTGGCAGGCCATGACAGACAGCTGTTGAGCTGCATTCAACTTGTTAAGCTGATTGTTTTTTTTTTTAATGTGAGTTCCAGGCTTGGTATGTCCCGTGAACCTAGGAAGTCTATAAATTTCTCTAGGACTCCTCGGGGAGTCAAGTGTCCATATCAGGATCTAACACACCCTAAAATGGGACATTTCAATCCCCCAACAACTCTTTTTTTCCCCCTTTGCACAATCTATAGAAAAAGCAAAGTGTGTTGCTTATATACAACATTTCAATCCCCTAACTACTCTTTTTTCCCCCCCTTGCACAATCTATAGAAGAAGCAAAGTGTGCTGCTTATATACCGTGCCATAGGGCTTAAAGCATTCTCTGGGTGGTTTGCAATTTAATTATGCAGGCTACAGATTGCCCCTCCGGCAAGCTGGGTACTCACTTTACCAGCCTTGGAAAGATGGATGGATGAGTCAATCTTGGACCGGCTACCTGAGATTGAACCGCGCGGGTCGTGAGCACAGTTGCCCGGCTACCTGGGATTGAACCGCGCGGGTCGTGAGCACAGTTTCGTCTGCTCACAAAATGTCTCCCTTTCTCTCTGTCGCTTGGTTAAGATCTTGGAACGGACTCTGGAGCCAGATAGTTCAGACGAAGAGCCGCCTCCGGTCTATTCTCCCCCTTCCTACGATATGCACGTCTTTGACAGGCAGTATCCGCAGGCTCCCCCAACGCCGCCCCCCAGGTAAGCGGTCACTTCTCCTCGGAGCTGGCAAAAATCAGAGTTTTGGAGAAGACCTTGAAGGCCGTCTTGTCTAGGGGGAAGATGTCCTTCGGCCTGAGGGCTGGATCCTGCTCCAGAGAAATTATTGGGATTTGCTTTCCAGCTGTGTACGTTTGCCTTAAGCAAATTGTAGGGATGAATGGGACCAAAAATGTTTTATTTATTTGACTTTTATACCATCCCTCTGGCTGCCAAGGCCACTCTCGTAGGGATGAATGGGACCAAAAATATTTTATTTACAGTATTTGACTTTTATACCACCCCTCTGGCTGCCAAGGCCACTCTGAGCAGTTGGTTTACAACTTTTTTAAAAAAAACAACAATAATACAAAACAATAAACACATTAACATTCAAAATACCAGCATATTTCAGATCAAAGGTCTTGCAGTCAGTAACTAAGCTTTAGGAGAATCGTTTTGACATTGGAACATTTAACATAGAATGGGAGGAAATATCAAAAAGTGGGGAAACCACAAGAAACTGTGTTATGGAGAAAGGTGCATGGTCATCTGGAAACATTGGACTCCAACAGGGCTGAATTTAGCCCCAGGACTTTAAGCCCTCGGTCCTTGATCTACCCACTTGATTTTCAGAGAGATCTCCAATGGAAGCTAGAGATATCCTGATCTCCAGCTTCCATTGCTTCTACCATTTTGGGTCACTGGTTCCTTTTTAGAATAATGCTCTTACCACTGAGAGCATTTCTTCTAATGCCCATTTGAAATCTACAGTATGGGTTCCTCACCTGGAGTAGCAAGAGGATATTGCCTTGCCGGCCTAAAAAGTGGGTATAAGAAGATCTAAAATAAATCAATGATGGGTCCTCGGATACATGGGAATGACTGAGGGTTTGAATTGAAGATTCAGAAAAAGACCCTTAGTAGAGGATAAAAACTGAACCTCGGGGTCTTTTTCCATGCAGTCTCCTGGGATGCCTACGAATGGATAACCCCTAATTCTATCAATCTCCAGGACTCACTGCTAAACCTCTGGAATGCTCCTTCCCAGAGCATGGGGGGAGAGAGGAACTACAACTCTCAGAATTCCTGTTTATTCTACTGGGTGGGGCTCTGGACGTCTGACCTCAAAGTCCTACCCTGATGGGTCCACCACTTGAATATGGGTAGCAACATTTGTATGGTTTTCAGTCCTAACCAGAACATATGGGTACCCTATAAGGCCGAGTTCAGAAGCAAGGGGGAATACGATAGCTTAATTCTTATATCTTTATCTTCATTTGCCTTCCCCGCTCACTTTTTTTTGATCTCACAGGATTGATATCCAAAATTCCAGTGGCCTGCAGGCACAAAAACGGTATAGGAATTGGAATCCACCATTATTAGGCAACCTTCCTGATGATTTTCTTCGCATTTTACCCCAACAAATGAATGAGATACAGGTGAGTGGGAGATATATTTTGCATTAAACTGTGGTTACACTTGGCCATCTTCGTAAACCATAGTTTAGAGTGATGAAAAAGAAGTTTGGGTGAACCTTGGGCTTATGGACCTTGCGGAAGTGTTTGGAAGTGGTGGCTTCTGTTTTTGTTTAACCAGATGTTGTCATGTCATCCAGCCAGCCAAAACCGTCTTTCATGTCAACGACGCTATCATGAAACTTGCTTGAAACTGTGGTTTATGAAGCTGGCTTATATAAACAAACTGCGGTTAACATTAATCATGGCTTAGCATTCTGACCAAAACACGGTTAATGGAAACAGAAGCCACGTTGGAGGAGCAAAAAGAAGAGGTGGGGGGCGTAAGACAACACTTAATCCCTTGGCTCGTTTGCTCTAGTTATGAGTTTGCATAGATGTGGACCATGTTCGGCCCAAGCAATGCTATTGAACTAAACAGCTTCTATGATTCTGTCCTGGTGGCTGTATTGGTTGGGGCTGATTAGAGTTGTGGCTTAACGTTGTCAGAAGAGCTTCGACTACAATTCTCAGAATCCTCTAGCCAGCATACCGGATTTAGGAAGCTGTAGTCCAGAAAGTAACTATTTCAGACTCTGATGTAAAATACACAGATTGTGTTCAGTTGTCAGCCTTCATTAAGTGTATACGGTAAAGACCCTGGTTTTGCTGTCTTATAATGTGTGAGATTGTTCCTGGTGATTAGCTAGTTCTTCCCCTATTTTGCTTAAGAGTTTGCAAAGCTCCCATCAAACAACGCCAAGCCCACGAAGTCAGAGAGCCCAGGGGTCCTTGGACCAAGAGAGGAAGTGGAAGCAGTACCTGGAAGACGAGCGCATTGCCCTCTTCCTGCAGAACGAGGAGTTTATGAAGGAGCTGCAGAGGAACCGGGACTTCCTCCTGGCCCTCGAGAGAGGTAATGAATGGGCCATGGTCCAAAGCTTCCCTTGCCTTTTGCCTTCATTGTTCTTTGTTCCCCTGGAAATATTCCTCATGATGCTTGGTGGATCTGTTTGGACCCGTAAAGCAAGAATACACCACAGATGAAGAACGTGGGCAGCTGTCTTCTCCCACATCGGAATATTTATGCAATATGTTCCGGTACTGTTTAGTTTGATTGGCAGTAACTTTCCAGGGTCTCCGGCAGAGAAAACATTTTCTCTTTTATGCCCTTTCATGATTCTTTCATCTGAAGACACTGAGATCCATCCATCCATCCATCCATCCATCCATCCATCCATCCATCCATCCATCCATCCATCCATCCATCCACCATCCATCCATCCATCCATCCATCCATCCATCCATCCATCCATCCTTCCTCCCTCCCTCCCTCCCTCCCTGCTATTCAGCACATTGGAATCGAAGTGAGGACATGCTGCCAGCTGAGCAGTTCCCTTTCCGCCAGGCTGTGGCTGCTCTACCCCATAGATGTCAACCTGTGGGCCACACAGGTGCGGGGGGTAGGTGGGGAGTCAAGTTTGGACAGAGAGAGGGGAGAAGAAAAAAAGAAAGTCACTGTTTGGTGGAAAATCTGGTGCAAATTGGTGACGAAAATTTGGATTGACCCCCCCAGGAGGAATCACTGAGCCTGGAAGGTTGGAAAGGATGCTGGCCCCCAATTAACCTTCCTTTCTGTGGGTCAAGGACCCTAACAGGAAAGAAGGCTCTCTCCTTGTGCTATAGTATATGGATGTTGACGTCCGCGTGTTCTTAATTGGGTTGTTTTGTTCGTGTTGCACAGTCTCATATTTTGCTATCTTGCTCGATCCTTTCAAGCGTACGTTGCTAAACATTCTTTTGTTGTTGTTGTTGTTGTTGTTCCCCATCAAGATCGATTGAGGTACGAGTCAAAGAAGTCCAAGATGAACAGCACCGCTGTCAGTAGTGATGCCCGGAGCTCCTCTGTAATACCAGGTCTGTTTTATTACGTGACTTCTGTCTGATGCTAACTCTTCCGTTGCTAACCCCTGTTAAATCAAGCTTCCTTGTCCCCTACGGTGGCCAGTCCATCTGAGCCAGAATTTTCACTTGGTGTCCAACCACCAGAGTTTTAGAGTATGGAGCCAAAGCAGAAGAAGAAAAGAGAGAGGAGGTACAGAGTAGTTGTGCCATTGGGGATCTTGGCCTTCCCCATCCACTTGTGAGGCTTCGACTACATTGGCAAGTTAAATCAGAGTGATTTGACTTTACTGTAGCTTGATTTGGAGCCTATTTTATGCTTCTATTCAGATTAGAAGCCAGTGTTTATATTGGCCCCTCGATTCAATGCAGTTCGATCTGTGCCACAGCCCATAGTTCTCTTTCTTTGATCCTAGCCTCTGCCGATTCCCGGCTGTCCTTTTAGGGGTGATTGTAAAGCCAATGGGCTGTTTAAAAGTGTTGCATGGTGCCAGAGAAAAGGGAACAGTTAAAAACAACACATTGGGACTAACAATAAAACAGCCGACCCATTTGGGGGAAAATACAAAGTGATAGCAGTAGAAAACTAAAACATCAAGCTGCGGGTCGAATGTTATAAATGGCCTGAGATAAAATGGAAAGGAAGTGCTATTGAGACTGGCTAAGAGGTAGCTTCCATAGTCATGATATCACTACCAAGAAGACCCCGTTTCTTGGACTCACCACCGGTTCCCATCAGTGGGTGACAGGGAGAGAGATCTAGAGTTAGGGTGCCGCCACTAAGAAAGCCCTGTTGCTCCTTCCTGCTTGCCCACCCTCCCAGAGGGATAGGGCCCAGATTTGCATTGGCTTGATATTTTTACACCGAAGGCTGTGCGTTGAGCATCCGTGCCTGATCTCAGAAATGCATGGGCCAAGGGCCTGGGTTTCTGAGGCTCACTGTGAATGCAAGGCACCCTTCATATGGGAATGGGCCATCCTTAAAGCAATGTGCCTCCATCGAGCCATTTATCAGGAGCAAATGGATGGCAAAGGCAGGGCAACACGATGCCATTCCAGACTATGCTGCTTAATTGGTACTGTGCCCTCCCTTTGTCTCTCTCTCCACAAGGGAAGGTGAAGTGGAAGAAAGGCACTGAGAATTCCTCACTGTTATCCCCAGTCATTGATCGGTGATAACGTCAGGAATTGCTTTCCCAGCCTTGCAGGTGAGGGTGCAAGGTCTGCTCGGGAGATCTTTGGACTAGATCAGGCTGTTAGCCAAAGGTCCCTCATCCTTGCGCAACACACCCTGCATCAACTACACCACCCAATATTTTTTTCAGCATGATGGGTTGAAGCCCTACGGAGCCTTTAGCACAGACTTCCCATTCCCTGTCCTGTCTTTTTGCAATTATATTTTAAATAAGTAAAAAAAAAACCAACAACTCTCCTTCCACTTTGGATGTTGAATTGGGATTTCTTGCTTCTGTTCCAAATCTCTTTTGGCTGATGGGGAATGGCAAACTTTCAAGGTGGAGAATCTGCGGCTGCACTGATGGATTTCCAGCCGTCTCGCCTCTTAACCAGGAATTCCTGGGGAAAAGGTTCTCTCCACTTTTCATTGATCCCTAGGTGTGTTTTTGCCTTTTCCAGATGATGTCGCTCGCTCCCTAACCGGCGTGGCTAGTGGTGCTGTCTCCGATGATGCCTTATTCAGGGACAAATTAAAACACATGGGAAAATGTGAGTTATAGATCATGGGAGATGCAGGATTTGAATCTGATGAAAGGTTTCTGCTCCGAATCTGACTGGCCCTCTTTGGGCATGTATCTACATGTGACATTAGCTCAGATAATTCCTTTGTAATTAGTTTACACCATGTGTTCTCTTTTGAATCCTGAAATAACGATGCCACAGCTAGGACAGGCTATTTGGATTCTCCTGCCTGACTCTGCACATTTGGCCATGGGAGAGGTATAGAATATTTTGAGTTTTCCAGAGACGGCTGTTCTCCATTCTTCTTATTCTCTAGTGAAGAATGCCTATGTACTGTGTAATTAAAATCAGGTTGCTAGTCCTGGAGGTTTGTCAGAACATGAGCCATGCCTAAGTTGATGACATGTAAAGGACCTGGAAAAGAATTCTGAGCAGGTTGGCTCAATGAAGTTGAGTTCTGGCAGAGATCCTGGATCTTGCTGGAAAGGCTTGTTTTGCTGGGTGAGATCTTTACACTGATCTTTAAAGTGACCCTTCTGAACCCACTTAGTCGTGTCCTGATCCTTCTAGCCCAGTTAAAAAAAAAGTAGCTGGACCAAAAAAGTCTGGAATGGGTATGGTGCAAGGGCAGACTGGTTTGTGATCTTGTGTCTATTATCTGGTCACTGGGAAATAGAGTGAATCACTACGGGCAACAGAAAAAGCAAGATAAAATCACCATCTGATCCCACCTTGAGTTGGAACACATAGGGGTTGGATTTGGGATCCCCCCACCGTGGGCCTCCTGGGAGAACAGCCAGCCTGTGTAGCTTTGGGCCAGCTACATAGTCCCAGAGCAAGCACCGAAAAGGAACAGCTTCTGAGTATTTCCTACCTAGGGGAAAAAAATGAGAATTGACTGTCATATAATTATCGTGCTCATTGAACCTGGAAGACTTTGAGAGGAACTCCATAAATCAGAATTAACTTGACAGAGCATCCTGATTATTATCTTGTTATTTCGGCTATGGAAGGACCGATGATGGCTTTTTGGGTATATTGATTATTTGTTAGTGGAGGTGGTTGTAAGTCACTTTGAGATTTCTCTGGCAATGGGAACTTGCATGTTATTTGTTGCGTATTTAATTATGAGATACATCAATATTCCTCTTTTCCTCCAGTTTGCTCAAGGTGCTGTATGTATTGCTCTTTACCTCCCTGTTTCATCCTTACAGCGACCCTGTGAGGGTCAGGGTCAGTTTAAATCCAAACGAGGAATAAAGAAACTAGATCTCAAGAGTCTTGGGGCAAGACTTGAACCATAACAGAATTGTCTGATACAGTTGTCTAAGACTTACTCATAGTCCAATGAATGGATGAATGAATGAATGAACACGTTGTGAGTGGCATTCTCCAGGTGTCATCTTCTTTGGCCTGTCATGTAAGAGTCCTTAGAGATATTGCAGAGTCAGGCTGGCACGTTTTTCCTTCAAATTATGTTCACACTCATCCCTCCCCTGATTTCTTCTCTTTTCAGCGACACGCAAGAAGCTCTTTGAACTTGCCAGGGCATTCTCAGATAAGACCAAAATGAGGAAGTCGAAAAGAAAACAGCTGTTGAAGCATCAGGTGTATCCTTACACACAATCTTGTGTGTGTGTGTGTGTGTGTGTGTGTGTCCATGGCTGTCCTCCTTAAAAAATCGAGAGTAATGCTTTTTAGTAAAACACAGATTGAAAAGGAAACAGTTTATAGTCCCAGCGTGGGGCTGTACTTATTCCCTGCGGGAGGGGCCATCACTGAAAAGGCCCTGTCTTTCAGGGCTGGGCGTCTGATAGATCCTGATAGCAGCCTGCAAGCTGGGCCTTTGAAGGTGCTCTAAATGTGCAGGAAGGTTATTCGTTGTGCAGGCAGCCCTCCTGGTCCGAGAACATTTAGATCCTAAACCATCACCAGCAGTTCTTGAGAGCTGAAGCTATTGGGGGAAAAAGGCTTCAGCATCCTGGATTTCTCCTGAAAAGTACAGACTAAAACCCACAGAGGACTCGGAGCAGCTCCCCTTTTGAGATCACCTGGTGCCACAGTCTAAAGCACACGTTAGCGCTTCACCTTCCAAGATGGAGTCTCTGAAAACAGCCTTCTAGAGCTCAGATGAAGTATGGCCTGGTTTGGATTATGTGCTCCCTATACCGCCAGTTTTCTCCAACCCTCTCCTTAACTGTAAGCCCAGCATGGGGACGGCAGCTTCGACGGCTAATCTGCTCGATGATGTGGAAGGACATTCCGGTGGTAAGTCCGTTTCCCCACACAGCTACATCTTTTGGGTTGGCCCCGACTCCCCAAAAGTAAGAAGGGAGCAAGTGCCAAAGAGAAAGTAGCGCTTTGTAAGGAAGATTCAACGTTCCTTACAGATAAGCGGCTCTACGCATGAGAAACTAACTGCTTTGCTGAGACACCGAGCTCCGGAAATCACACTCGTGCGTGGTCCCGCTGAGCCACTGAAAACGTGGGTCGGTTAATCAGTTAAAAAACTTGCTTAGTTTTTTTTTTGTAATATAATGATATTAATTCATCTTGAACAGTTGAATAAGTTACTGTTTTTAGCTTTTAATAATTGCGTTTTTAATGATGTAAGCTGCCTTGGGTCCCTTTTTTTGGAGAAAAGTGAGGTAAAGTGTTTAAAATAAATAAATACATTCTGTTGGTTTGCTAAACGTGTGCCCTCAGTTAACCAGGCAACACTCAGAAGGGGGGGGGGGAAGAAGAGTCATTCTTGGTGGAAAGCATTGTGCTAACACCACTTTCTTGCTTCTCGGCCAACAGAGAGGCTGAACAACTCAGCTGTAAGTGTGTGTATATGTGTGTGTGTGTGTGTTCATTTATTTAGTTAAAATATTTTACCCTGCCTTTCTCCTCAAAAGGACCCAAGGTGGCTTACAACAATCAAAAGACAATATTTAAAAGCTAAAAACAGTTAAGTATACAAATATTTTACAAAGGAATTAAACAAGTATTCTATTTAAAATAGGAAATAAAATCAGTACTTAAAAACACATTGAAAAGTAAACAGCACAATAGTCCATTAAAAAAACAATTACCGGACAACCAGTCTAAAGAAAATCCTGTTTGATGAGAAAGATCTTTGCCTGCTTGGGGAAGGAGAGTAAAGATAGGGGCCAGCCAGGTCCCCAGTGGGAGGGAGTTCCAAAGTCTGAGAGCAGGCAAGATATCAATTTTAATCCTTGGCATTCTTTTTCTTCTTTCAAATAACCAATCAGCATGTAAGTGTCCCCTGATAACCTTAATGCCCCGGCCGGCTCATACCGCATGCACACATGGCATCATAAGAAGTGCCTTCACTGAAGCATACGGTCCCTAAGAGGTTGCTAGACTGCAGCTTTCCGGAATGCCTCTTTTAGGGTTGCCCGTTCCATGCAGGGCAACTGATAAGCATCATCCTTCAGGCAGGATTTAAATTCAAGGCTCTCTTGTCCTCTCCCAAAACCACTTTGCTTAGATCTCCCACAATTATATACTCATAGGATGCTTCCGTATCTTCATGGTGATTTCTGCATTTCAGATGAGGAGAGCCAAGCAAGGAGAAGACCTTTACCCATAGAAGAAGCCAACTCTCTGTAGAACACAATGGATTTAAAATGGGCAAAATACGGTCCCTAAGAGGTTGCTAGACTGCAGCTTTCCGGAATGCCTCTTTTAGGGTTGAAAGCCCCGTTCCATGCAGGGCAACTGATGAGCATCATCCTTCAGGCAGGATTTAAATTCAAGGCTCTCTTGTCCTCTCCCAAAACCACTTTGCTTAGATCTCCCACAATTATATACTCATAGGATGCTTCCGTATCTTCATGGTGATTTCTGCATTTCAGATGAGGAGAGCCAAGCAAGGAGAAGACCTTTACCCATAGAAGAAGAAGCATCAAAAGAAGTACAATGAAGTGAAGGATAATATGAGGTTAGGGCTGTGCCCAGTCAAGAATTTTACCGCAACTTGGTTTTGTCTTGGGTTCAGGGTTGGGATCTCATTTAATAAACCAGATATTTTCAATGAATGTATGCGGGAATGTTTCTCTTGATGCATCAGAGCTTGGAAAAGTTCTTTTTTTTTTTTTTTTTTTTTTGGTTTTGTCTTGGGTTCAGGGTTGGGACCATGTTTCCACAAAATGGCCTAGCCAGCTTAACAGTGAGCTGGGGGTTTCTGAGAAATAAAACGCGAAAAAAGGTGATTTCTGTCCCTCACCCCCCACTGTCAGCTCCACCGCATGAAGTATTTAATTTTTGTCAAGAAAACAAAGTAGTGAAATTTAAAAAAATACTCAAAATCTTGCATAATTTCACTCCATAGCCAGGAAACTTTAAAAACATTTCTTTCCACTGCTAGAATTAAATAAGTGCAAATGTACATCCTGTGCCCTGGATTATTTGAAAAGGATATACAAACCTCACTTTGCCATCTGAAATAGGTACACAACATTCTGTGATATCCACAATTTTTTTGAATTGAATATAGCTGAGAAGGTACGTGCTAACTACCAGTTACATATCATTATTTTCCTTTCTGGTTCTGAAGGCATAACTCAGCTGCATTCCAATTGTCAGCGTAATGAAGGGAACTGTCACCCCTTTTGTCATGTAATTTTTAAAAAATTCCCAAAAGGTTAGCAAAACATGCAGGGGGTTCCTGATGCAGAGATACAACAAAGCCGCTATGTGGTTTAAAGACAGGAAAGTTTTGTTTGGCACGATTTGCCTAAGAAAACTAATTTTAAGGGGAACCACATTAAAGAGTGGTGGAGGAAAATCACGTTGTTTGTAGTTCTTCCTTGAGTTGTTGTCTTGTGCTATGTTGTGACTGTTCGCAGGTGACTTGGGCGGGATGACACATGAATGGTTTTTGAACCTAAAAGCCACTTTAATTATGCTGTTGCATAAATCTCTCTGAGTGGCCCTTATCCAAATGCATGGTATAAAAATGAAATAAATAAATTTGGCAATGTGTTCTGCTTCGAATTACCAAATATTCCACATAAAACCTACCACCTCTTCTCTCTCTCTCTTTCTCTTTCTTCTTCTTCAGCTCATTCAAAACTTTTTCCCCTTTTCTTTTCTTCCAGATCTTGACTTGGCAGTTAAAAAAAACAAAAAGGAGATAAGGTGAGAATCGAAAGCTGTCTGAGAAGAGAAAGATGGTCCTTCAGCTGGTGGCTCCATTCTGGCTCTGGTGCTGTGGGATGTTTCGGAAACAACGCACACGCGTTATATCATGTCAGGGAAACACCGTATTTGGGTTTTGACAACAATTTTGAAAACAATGGGTTTGGAAACAATTTTCTTTGTTAATCCCCCCCCCATTCTTCCCAATCTGAGGAATCTAGGAATCTGAAGGAGGGGGAAAAGAGATTAAATGAATAGCTGGCCTGATTTTTTTTTAATGCCAACCTTTGCTACAGGAGAATGAATTTTAAGCTCCAAACAGGATCAAGGTGCTTTCCTCCTTTGATACCCTGTGCTGTTCAGATGTACAAATGAAAAAGAAAAAAAAGGATAATACTGTTTAAGAGTTTCTAGTGTGGCATTTAAAAATAATATCTCTTCAACGAATGAGTCTGTGTGACCTTTGTCCAGGTAGAGAATGGCCTCTGTGGTTTGTTGTATGGTTGAATTGTTGTTACTCTTTTCATTTTTTTATTCTTATGATGTAACTTGCTGCTCAATTGAGAAGCCCAAGCCCCTCTGTCTGTCAGCCACCAGCAAAATAGAAGCTTATTTCCATAAAGAAGGGTGTTTCTGCATCCCTCTCGCCACCAGAAACACTTCGCAGTGAATTCATGGATCCTTGAATTTTTTGTTTTCATTTTCAAAAATCTCTCCATAGCTCGTTGTCCTCTCCGCTTGAAATCGCTTTGTCTCACGCTGTTGCTTCAGTGTGATCTCTCTTCTAGCTGTACATTACTCATAAGGCTGAAAAAAAGAATGCTGAAAACTAAGATCAAACTCAAGACTTTGGAGAAGTTACTTTTGTGGGGAGTACAGTAGGTTTCCCCTATCCACGGAATCAGTATCTGCTGATTCACTGATCCGCTGTTTGAAAATACGAAATAACCCCCCCCAAGAAATGGCCACAAGAGGGTGCCATAGATCATGCAATGTATAGCATTCCATATGTCTGCATTTTTTGGCTTGGGATCCATTCCCTCCTGATAACCACAGTCCTACTCTGTAACTTCCTACAACTTTTTTTGTTTTGTTTACAGCAGGCTGTGTTGGCTGTAATGACAAGAAGTCTCAAAAAGTAACTTTTGAAGGCTCTGGGATAGGCGTGAACAGATATATCCTAAATATATATGTATATGGGATTGGTGTGAACAGATATATTCTACATTCTAAAGTTATATAGATACAGTATATAGATATATATTTAAAAAGTTGTTTCCAGCATCCAGGGCAAACACACACACACACAAACACACACATATAATTGCTTCTGTGCTTTTGTGAACCAAGAGTCTTTTGCAACATTGGCGTTAGAGCCGCTCGCCCTCCCCCTGGTTTGTCCCACATGTTGTTGAGGTAACAATGCTTTGCATGCATCCTTTTTATTCACTGGTGAGTTGGCACTGTGCCACGGATAATGAGAAAGGCTATAATTGGCCCGATCTACACAGCGCCGGGTTGTTAAGCATTCACTTCATGGGTGTGTGGCAAAACCATGTGGGGAAGGAATCTTGGTTTGAGAATCCTGTGGGGCAGTGGCTGCTTGGATCGTGTCGCCTTTGAATCAGATTGGGGGACAAGTTGGAAACATTACTTTTTCTGGACTACAGCTCCCAGAATCCTCTAGGAAACATGGCCGGGGTGTGTGTTCTGGGAGCAGTGTTCTTCCCCTCCCCAAAATTTCCTACGCTCTGCCTGTGGGGTACCTCCAGCCATCCTAGCTTCCTGCCGGTGGCCGTTTTGTCCTGGATGCTGTAAACAAAAGTGGGAACATTGAGGTATTGGGGGGGCAGAACTCGCTGGCTTGGCATGGACAGAGTCTTGAGTTCAAATCTCAGCATCTCTTAAAGAATAATTGCCAGATTTAGAAAGATCCCCTGGACTGAGGCCACCAGTCAGAATAGACCGTGATGGGATAGTTGAACCTGTGGCTTTGGGTCAATATAGATGGGCTATAAATATATCTCTTGAGTCATGTTGACCATCCTGAGGCCTTAGATTCAAAGCACAACAGAATGGTTTCCTTGTTTGTAAACCAATGATTGACAAGTTTATGAACTGCTGTGAACGGTTGTTATGTGTTGTCAAGTCACTTCCGAGTTATGGCGACCCGAATCGGGGTCTTGAGGCATTCAAAGAGCGGTTCACCACAGCCACCCCTCTGCGAGGCTCCGTGGCTAACTGAGGATTCGAATCCATATCCCTCAAGTCTTAGTCCCACTATCCATTCCACCGCACGGGCTCTCACTGCTGGCTATCATAGCGCAAAGAATCGTAAGAGCTTTAATCAACATGCTTTCTGAAAGGCATGTTGATTTGAGTTAAAGCTTCATGGTGGTTTTTAGCCCCAGGATGCTTTTGAGCTGGCTTCTGCATCATATATGTATTATTATTTATTTAATATTTTTGGCTACATTGATAGTCACATCGTTCTTCTAAGGAGCTCCGTTTTGTGCGACTCTCCCCTTTCCGGCTTTTTGCTCACCACAACCTTGTAAAGTAGGCTAGGCTGAGAAAGATCCCTCTTGGTAGGAGGCATAGCTGTGCGGGAACTAGAGAAATCAACTATCCAATGTTGTATCCATGCCAGATCTTCTATCTGGGGGTGCCAGGGTTTCTCTGAAAGGGATACTTCTTAAGAAGTGACATTGGCTACATAGATCTTAAGATTTTGGGGTGCATCTCTTTGTAGTCATATATTAAAAAAAAACAGCGTCCTGCTGGCGGCTTCGGTGTTCCTGTTGCTTTAAAGCAGAGAAAGTGAGATGGAAATTGAGACTGGAGCAGCTTACGCCAGAGGAGAGGCTGGGATGGGGGGGGGGAATCCTGAGTGAAGTTCTCTGTTCTCTTCAAGGCGAGAGTGCCGTCAACTCGGCCGCCTCGTCCTGTAAGGGTTCCAAGTTTTCAGGCTGCTTGGAAGGAGAAATCGTAGTGCTTTTAAAAAAAGATTCCAAACTTGAGAGACAGCCAGACACGAACCGTTCCCTTGAGAAAAGAGGGGAGGGGGAAGGAAGCCTTGAATAAGAGCTGCCGAGACTCGCGGATCCTTTAGGACAGAGAATGCCAGCCAGCCTTCTCTCCTCACCTTGTTTGGGGAAAAAGCGCTGGCCAGTTGCTAAGGGCACAACTGAAGGAGTGCCACTAGAAACGAGCAGCCGTAGAACGAGAAAAACTTTCACATGGTACTGCGGGGCTCCCTGCTCCTTAAATTGCTAGCCCAGGAAGCCACTGGCTGTTCCGTCTTCCTTTATCCAGAACGCTTGGAAGGAACTCAAGTTCTGGAAGAAGATCTGCGTGTTGGAATGTTCCCAGTTCATTCCGAGTCTGGCTTAACCTCGCAGATTTTGCATGAACTTTTTTTTTTTAAAAAATAAAGAGACAGACAGAAGCCAGCTACAAATTCCTCCAGCTAGAGAAAAGAAGCGGGAAAAGCACATATGGAAGACACCTATCTTTTTTTCCCTAGAACATAAGCATTTGTGTTTTCATTCAAGTCTAAAGGAAGGCAGAGAGCCGTTCTTCTCTGAACTCCTGTCTTTTTTTTTTTCGTAGAACATAATCATTTGTGTTTTCATTCAAGTCTAAAGGAAGGCAGAGAGCTGTCCTGCTTTGAGAGAAATGAGGAAGGAGCCCCCTCCCCACCCCCAGCCTTTTGAGGCGACAATGACTAGGGTTGATCGTGCAGTAATAAAAAGTATTTGGCCTTTGGAACATCCTGTGGTGTGTGGATGGTGGGTGGCATGCAGTCCTCCCAGTGCCCTAAATGCAGTCAGACGCTATTGCCCACCCCACCCCTGGTGCTATCATGCTCTCAGATCATCATCTTCTTCTTTTTTAAGTTGGAAGGGGTGTCAAAAAGTTATCTTGTGCTTTGGGGGTGAGGCAATTTACCATATTTTGAAGTCTTCCCCCAAATGAAAAAAAAGTAATTGAAAATGTGGCCACTAGGGGGTATAAGAGAGACTTTGGGCTTTTTAAAAGAAATTTTTAAGGAAAAAATTGTGTGTATGTGGTGCAGCTACCCTATAAGAAATCCAGGGTTACTATTGCTAGATTCTTTCGCCGCCTGCCTTCCATATTTCCTGGGCTGCCCCGTAGGAGATGGACTGTAATTCCCATAAGCCAAAGGTGAGGAATGATGGAACTGTAATCTAGCAGTACCATGGGGAAGCTCTACTTAGCTCACCCTGTTTTACAAGACAGCCATGAGGGAGTGCATTAGAAAGTCCCAGATGATGACCTAAAAACCGGTTCTTGCAAAGATTTACAGCCGTGTCTCCACCATCACCTTTCCACCCTTCGGGATGAGTTTGGTATTTATTGAGAGATTTAGCCCAGGGATCTGCGATGGCTATCTGCTTTCTTCAGGTCATGCTCTGCACCCCATCCTGGCCTTTTAGACCTATGCTTTGCCGTGTTCTTTCAGCCCCAACTGTTCCCTTTGTTTCTCATTCTTCCATTCTTGTTTCCTATTTGTAATGGCTTTCAAAACAAGTCACCAGTCATCCCCTTACAAGGATTAACCAAAACTGCCTGTGACACCGGTGGAAATCCAGGGACATTCGCTCCGCTTGCATGGTGTGCCACAAGCCATGGGAGGGAATCTCTGGGGGTCCCTCCGTGATGCCTCCCCAATGAATCCTACGCTGGGAATGGAATCTTACGGAGGCCTCTCCAGATGCCCAGCTGGAAAAGACGGTTGTTGCTATGTGCCGTCTTGTCACCTCTTGACTTGTGGAGACCTTGTAGACGAGGGATCTCCAAAATGTTCTGTCCTTGGCCGTGCTCAGGCTCTTGCGAACTCAATCCTGTGGCTTCCCTTAAGCAGTCAGTCCATCTCATCCTTGGTCTTCCTCTGAGGGATCTCCAAAATGTTCTGTCCTCGGCCGTGCTCAGCTCTTGCAAACTCAGTCCTGTGGCTTCCCTTAAGGAGTCAGTCCATTTCATCGTTGGTCTTCCTCTTTTCCAGAGAATTCTGCCTTCTTGTGATGTGCCCAAAGTAAGAGGGTCTCCGTTTCAACACTTTTGGCTCCAGAGATAGTTCAGGCTTGATTTGATTTAGGACCCCGTTTGTTCAGGGGTAGACCTTCAGGATTTGTCCCTCTCTTCCCTTATTTGCCCCAGTCTTGAATATTCCATCACGTGAGAAAAGAGGTGGGCAGATGGGAGCGGTGGAAGAGAAGGTATACGTTGAATCCTTTTAGCGGAAGGTTGGCCCGAGAGACCTGGTGGTTCCCTTAGATCGGTGGTTCCCATCCTTGGGTCCTCAGGTTTTCTGGAACTACGACTCCCAGAAGGTTTTCTGGAACTATAACTCCCAGAAATCTGGCTACCATAGCTAGTGGCGAAGGCTTCTAGGAGTTTTAGTCCAAGAACATCTGGGGACCCAAGGTTGGGAACCACGGCCTTAGATTCATCAGATGTAGGGGGAAACGGCTTTTCTGAACTATGTGAAGCCAGCATGGCTCCTTTTCACCCATACCTGGCTACTAAACTCAAGTCAGCTTTTAATGAACAATCTGCTGTTTGAATGATATTCTCCCTATGAACTTTACACCTAACGCCTTCTGATGTTGATTTCACATTGAAGTTCTTCTTGCAGCTAGCTGTCGTCTTAGTTCATCATGAGCTGTACTTTCATCTCACTGACTCTTTATGCCTCATTAACTTTTTAAAAATTGTTATTACTTTTATTAATGGAAAAGTGGGGTAGCCACAACTAGCTGAACTGAACAAAAACACGAGAAAAGGTCAATGGATTGGAGCGTTGGCAGATCTTGGGGGGGAAATTACCTTTTTTTAAAATTACGACTCTCGGCATGGTCACTGACTTAATGGTGGATAATTGTTTATGTTTAACTCGTTGGGTGTTATGGAAAAGAGAATATTTCCCCGCCTTAAACTAGCACAGGCGATGCTGAAAAACTGTATTTAAACCAGGGATTTTCCCAGTAGCAGCCAACCCCCCCCAACTCCTTTTAAACTTCTCAATGCAGATGTAGCAAAACAACAGAGACTCTCAAAGACTTGATTTAGGTTTATGATGGCATCCTCTAAAATCCCCTAAAATCCACCTGTTCTTTTCACAAAGCAGCAGCAGAAGAATCCTGATCAAGTTTAGAAAATAGATGAGAACGGGCAGAAACAACTGTTTCGAAATTTCACCGTTGGGTTGAACTCTTCAAACTTTTAGACCAAGGATTTCCTGCGGAAAATATCCTAAAGTTGGCTAAGGGGGAAGAAATTTTCCCTTCCCAATTTTAGATTTTGACTCTCGGCAAAATGGCCTCCGAATCCAAGCTGTGTTTCTCCTACCGAACAGTATACAATTCTTAGTAACGTTTGTATTGCTTTCTTTAAAAAATAACGGGGGAGCAGTTTGTTTTTTTAAAAAAGGAGACAAACCATTTGGGTGGGTGGGGAGACTCCCATGGCATTTGTCAGTGTTGCTATTTTAGAAATAATTTCCATACGTTAATTTTTTTTCTTAAAGATGTTTAATAGTAATTCATATAATAAAGTCACGTTGTACTCTCCTAATGCTTTTGCTTTGTGATTCTCCTCGGTTTTGTGTTGTTGCTTCACAAGCGTATTGGACTACAGACTGAACCTGGATATTTTGGGGAAGAAACAGGTGGGTGTTCTGACTGATCCTTGCTTGAAATCCATCATGATGAGCCTTGCAACTTAACTAACTAATATTTTTTAAACCCACCTTTCCCCCTGCAAAATAGCACTCAGGGCCAGCTGTCTCAGAGTCTTGTATGTAGCACAGTTTAGAAGCTGCATTTTGAAAGATAATTAGTTACATTGTGGTTCATTACCATTATAATTGCAGGCTATTTTAAAAACAAAAGCTGACTCCTTCTTTTCTCATTATTCAAAAGCAACTACTGTTGAAGAGTTATATTTTGTTACTTTTAAAAATCACACCCGAATGTTACAAGCTTCTGGGACAAAACAGATTTAATGTAATGAAGTACAGTAGTAAGGTTTTCTCCATACTGTAATGATAAAAGCAGCTAAAGCGTTGTTACAGTTACACCCCAAAAGGAGCAATATTCTCTGTTACAATTGTAACTTAATTGTACGTTATTTCCTGCAGAAAGGAATTCATTGCAGATGTGTGTTCTGGTTGTGTTCTGGTCTCTGGCATAAATTAAGACAGATAAGTGATTATTTGGCACCAGTTGTGTTCTGGTCTCTGGCATAAATTAAGCCATATATTGTGGCAGAAAGTTACGTGAATTAGCCACATTTTTTAATACATAAAGTCATATTGCAGGGATTTACATGGAGAAGGGAAAACAGTAAGTTTTAATGCCCACAGCTCACAAAACATCTGATAGCATATGATGTTTCTAGGCAAAGATAAAATGTTTAGAAAATAAATGTAATGATTGATCGCAGGAGGAATTGTTGGGACTAACACGCTCTTCCTACCTTTGATACATTCAGTTTTAACAGCTGTAGGGTGAGGAAGAACCTTGGCTTCAGCAGAGTCTGAAAGAGACGTAATCGAACTTGCTTATGCTGAAATCTGTTTTTAAATTCCTTTGACGAAGGGAGATTTATAGATCAGCAGCACAGCCTTATGCCACCTGTGTTGCCAGTCCTTGGTCACACTGAACCCAGTGACTTCCACGAACCATTTGTGATGCAGGCTTTAATCTTCCTCCTTCATCACCTTTCACTATCATTTGCTGCCCAATGCTGTTTTTTGTAGGGCTCAGTCAAGGGGGAGGGACGTGGCCAGGGTTGATATAATCGGAGCTGCCTACATTTCCCAACCCCCCTAGCCAACATGTCTTACTTTTTTTGGATTTGTAGGCCAGCTGGAGAGCCCAGTGAGTTAGGTCTCTGGCGGCAGAGCCAGAGGTTGGCGTTTTGATTCCCCCACTGTGCATCCCAGGAGAAGAGCCAGCCCCTGTGTAGCCTTGGACTAGCTGCACAGTAGCCCCAGAGTACCCCAGGAGAAGGGACAAGTAAACCATATCTGAGCACTTTTCTCCCCAGAAAACATTGAAAAGAATGGCTGTAAGTCAGAATTGACTTCATGGCCCAGAATTATGATTAGGCCAATTAAGTACAGTGGTGCCCCATAAGACAATGTTAATTTGTTCCATTGAAATCGCTGTTTTGTGAAAACATCGTCTTGAGAAAAGCGTTTCCCCATTGGAATGCATTGAAATCCATTTAATGCATTCCAATGGGGAAAAATCGTCGTCGTCCAGCGAAAATCGCCCATAGGGAAGCCATTTTACAAAGCGCCGATCAGCTGTAAAATTGCTGTCTTGCGAAAAATGGAAGTGCCAATCAGCTGTAAAAATCGTCGTATTGCGAAAAATGGTCTGCGAAGCACGGACCAAATCATCGTCCAGCGAAATCCCCCATAGGAAAAACTGTTTTGCGAATCGCTATAGCGACTGCAAAAAGTCATCGTCCTGCAGATTACCCATTTTGCGGGGTAATCATCTAGCAGGGCCCCACTGTAACTGTTCGAGGCTCTGGTGCATTGCACTGTAGTCCAACATTTTACATCCTTAGGCAAAGAACAAGATGATGTCTCCTCATTCAATATGCAGGCTTGCCCTGAGTTGGTAACCTCCACTCGAACCAGCAGGCGAGTTTAGGAGGGCTGGGGGCCAGACGTGTGGTGGAGATGGCTTTGTCCTCCAAGAGAAGGAAACAGCTGGAAGCTTCCCTCTGTCCTCCGCTACCTGAGGCAGCTTCTTAGCTTGGTGCTTAAGGGTACAACTGGCCCTACCTTTCACAATGGCAGCCTGCAATGGAGACACACTTAAGTAGGGTGGTAGCTCCATTCAGTGCTGGAGTAAGCATCCTAGAGCTTGCAGGCACACACAAAAGAACGGTCAAAATAGGTTGAGACAGCCAGAGAAAGCCTCCCCTCCTTTCTGGACATTGAATTGAAGAGCGAGTCATCCATTCCCTTTAGATGCAAAATGTAGGGTTTGCGTTGGCTCATCTGTAATTAGAACAGGGATCTCTGAAGCCAGACGATGGGTGTTCTTAGGACGCCTCTCACAACGGATGATTCCTGGAAAATATAGAAGGCACGTCAGAAGAGCCGGCGTGTTGTAGTGCTATAGGCATTTCAGCGCATGCATCGAAAGGGTCAACCCTGCTTTGAGGTGTTATGTCTTGTGCCATCTGGTGGGCACACATGGAAAGTGCCAGGGACTGGCAAGGAAAATCAAGCGAGCACACAAAACCCAAATGCACCCAGAAGAGTAGCAATTGAAGCTTTCCAGAATGTGCAGCATACATGATCTGAGCCACCGAGCCATTGCGATACCTGCATCAACCGTGCCAGTCACAATGAAAGGATGGGTTCATACAGCCCAGTCTAAGATGAATGGCATAAACATTGTGCTATGTAAATATCCTTAACAGTGTGGGGTTTTTGGCTTCCAGACCTTTTATGATCCTGACCACATTCCAACTATTAATCACCATTGAGGACACATCTCAGCAAAAGAAAGAAAACCAGGAGAGGAAATAAGTTTCCTTGACACCCATCACATCTTTTCTATTACCAGATAACTGTGCCACAAAGCGGGCCTTGAAGAGAGCATAAAAGAGCACATCTGTGTACATTTGTCCCGGGGAAATGAAGCCGACAAGAAACCTTAGCAAGGCTTTGAGGTGCTGAAGCTATATGGATGCAATTGGGGTCCCTACGGTGTCAATTTCACGACTTTAAATTGTGTTAAGTTGCAAGGAACGCATGAGGGCCCGCCCTCCCCTTCGGATGTGCGTCCCTTCCGACGGAAAGAGTGAGCAGTTGCCAACAGGCATGTGGCTTCGTCATTCTTTCTCCCTGTTGTGCTTCGGAAAGAATAAATAGCTGAAGGTTAGTGTCAGCCCCAAAGGAACCACTTCGTCTTTTCTCCGTTTGTCATCCAGGACCTGAAATGCAGGAGGGAGATAATCTAAAGCCAAAGGAGCCAGGTGGCCTGCTGTAATTAAAGCTACCGTTTCAGCAGCAACAGCTCCTGGGCTGAGATTTCGGGACCAAAAAACAAAGGGGTGGATTCTTGGGATGTCATTGAGTTAGGGGAGAAACCAGGGTGACAAAGGTGGGGTTTCATTTCTCCCATAGACTTTGGGCCATTGTTTCTAGGGGGTGGGCAATAATATCAAGTCTCATGAGTCACGCTGCTGGTGCTTTACTTCCAGATTTCGTCCCAAGGGTACAATGGGCTCAGCAGTGCTCTTGCAAAAAACCCAGGAGCAAGGAGGAGGGAGCTGGAAAAAGAACTGGAGGGTTGGAAGTGGATTTACTATAAAACGAATAAAGCTTAATCTTCAAGGCTCCTGATTGTGGAGGGGTCCCAGAAGTGCCTTTAGTTCTCACTTTTTCAAATATTTGTGACGATCTGTCGTGGATCAACCCCATTGAAGAAGACAACAGTGGTTACGTGGACCCCGTTGCTGGTTGTGAAGGGGCCCCTATAACAGTTCAAGCTTCAGGGGCCCCAAAATATCGGTCTGTCACTGGGGGTGGGTGGGTGCAGTTACTTGAGTCATTGAATATGACTGAGTAATTTCAAACACCAAAAGTCCCTTCATGCTGAACCGGTAGGCTGCTACACTAACCGAAAATGGGCTGAGATGGCTATACAGGCTGTCTCACGTGCAAAAAAGAAAGAAAGAAAAAAAAAGAATGTAAATTAAAGCCATGTCCTTGTCTTGTGCTGCTTGCTCTGAGATTTGCCTCCTTACTTGGCAAAGTACTGTATAGCAATTCTCCCTGGACTTCTCCTGAGACTTGGCAAACCTGGGTGAAATGGGTCTAGAGAGCCATCATCTTTCCTTTGTCCCAAGTTCTCTCTGTGGCCTAAGGCAAATCCCTTCCTCTCAGCCTCAGTCCCCTGTACAATAAGGGGATAATGATATTGGCCTACATTACAATCTTAGTTTGACCATGATAATGAGCAAATATGTTTGCCATGATTTGAAAACATACAAAAAGAGAAGAGCTATCAAGCCCAAGGCTTGCCAAGTATGAGGTTCTCTTTCACACCCTTGGCTATTCTTTATTTGTTATTTATATTCCACCTTTCCCCCAATACAGAGAGGCAAGCCAGCTTACAATTAAAAAAATGGCTAAATGCAGGGTAAACTCTCATTTAAAATAGAAGCCACGTTGAAACATCCATTGTTTCATAAGGAAGGAAAAAGTACAGTAACAGCCTATTCAAGGCTGTTGTTAAAAGCTTGACTAGAAAGTTGACAGCTGGTACAAGGATAAAAGAAAGGGGGTACTCTACCCTCCTTTGGCAGGGAGTTCCACAGCCCCGGGGTAGCCGCCGAAAAGGCCCTGGTGGGACACACAGAAAAGCTTTTCCTGAAGGTTTTGGTTTCCCACATAGGCTCATATGGGTTGAGGAATCATTTAAGGACTTGGGCCTGAGTTGTTTTCTTCTTCTTCGTCTTCTTCTTCTTCGTAGTAGTAGTATTTTATGCTTCTTGCCCTCTATTTTTGGTTGTAAGGCTGAAGGCAGGGAGTGCATCGGCTTGTAAAAACACACACACACACACACACACACACACACACAGAGAGAGAGAGAGAGAGAGAGAGAGAGAGAGAGAGAGATAAAAAACCCACACACACACCGTCCTATGTAGGTCAGCTGTAGAAATTGGTAGAAATTGTATAAATAGGTAAGACATGCTTTAATGAAAAATGGGAGCAAGCCCCACTCTATCCAATGGGTTTATTTCCGAACGGACATGAAACCTCATCACTTCTGTCTTGCGTGCTTGTGCTCTGATGTTGCAAAGGGACTACAAATCCGAACTGAAAAGGTTTCTTGTTTTGTGTGTGGGGCGGAAAATGTATTATTTCTTCATTCGCTTCTGAACACACTCCTACCCATCGCCAGCTCTTTTATCGACTGCTCTTGCCTGCCTCCTTAATCCATACTTCTGCCGCGTGGGCTTGCAACTAGAGGGGCTAGTGGCGAACCTTCCGTCGCGCACGCGTTCTCGCGAGATAAGGCTTTTCCGCTTCCGGGTGGCGGCGGTTGCTAGGCTGCGCTTCAGGTTGCTACGAGAGGCCTAGGGCTCGTTTTCAGCGAGCGACGCAATGGCGGGGAGCAGGTTGGAAAAGTTGAGCAGCATCTTTTTCCGGTGAGAGCTTTGTGTCCGTCGTTTTTGGGGTGGGGGCGACGCCTGCCTCGGGGGATGGATTTTTAGTAGACACTTGGAGCCACAAGGGAAAAAAAATAAGAATATAATTGCACACGTTCCCTGTAATCCAGCTTCTTATTTCCCCACATGGCTAACTAGCAGAACATGGAGGCGGCGGCGGCGGCCGCTGTTCCCTAAAATGCTGCTCCTTTTTTTGAACCACATGCTGTGGGATACACTGCTCCTAAACTGGGAGGCTCTACTCCTGCCAGTCACAACTGGTGAGAACTGAGTTCTACAGCATCATCAGCCTCCAGTTAACCCAATATCGCACCTAAAGGGCCACTCCAGTCGCGGATCTGTAAGTCAGTGTCCTTGGACTACAACTCCCATAAATCCTGGCTGGCAGAGCTGGTGGTGAAGGCTTCTGGGGGTTGGAGTCCAAGAACATCTTGGATGGTCCAAGGTTGTTGACACCTTTCTGCCTGCCCTTGAGTGCAGGGTGCAAGAAACACAAAACAAAAGCAAATGATGATGATGATGATGATGATAATAATAATA